TGGATATTTTCTCTATTTAATAAGGCAAAAATTATCGAGATAACTTTAATATAATTAAAAGGACATATCAGGACATTGGTTTAAGTATAAGAGTAACTTACTATTTTATTGAATCTGCCAGTTTTTTTGGTTGTATAGAATATATTGCTGTCTGTTATACAAAAGATGGCTGTTTTAACAACAGTGAATATCAAAATAAAACCTTCCGTTCCTTTTAGAATTGATATTTTCCATGTACTCTTTGGATGATAAGTGTTTCAAATTGTTCTCAATATTGTAAGTGAAAATCTACCAAGTTTGATAGTGAGCTGCAGGTTGCTCAAATGGAACTTCTTGGTTAAGTAATCTCCACATCTGATTTTATCTAATGTTCAAAAATGGATCAAATAAAAACTGATCTGAAAAGATGATTCTAGCCACCATTTCAACTGACCATTATTCTATAAATTTTAAAGACAATCCTTCATCAGGCTCTAGAATTCGTTTTTCGCTCAGTATTAACTGGTTGAAAAAGTGGCATTCTTCTGGCAGCTCTGCTATAGAAACTCATGGAATGAAGATGCTATACTGCTGTTCTTGTACTATATCTGCTTATATTGAATTTTCAATTTCCTATATTAACACACAAAGATATATTTCTGACAGCTTAAGTTGACCTGAATAAGAATCAATAGTTTCCTTTATTAATGAACTAGCTTAAAAGCCATACTCCATTGGATTTTAAGCTAGCTCCTGTGGGGAGCTAATTGGGCCAAAATTCTGATTTGGGCCAAAATTCCAGTTCAGACTGAAAACTGAGTTCTTCAAATCACAAACTCTGCAGAACTTCAAAACCTCACATCACCAAACCACTCACTTTAACTCTAATTCCTTGGCATTTTGAAGAAATAAAATTGATTTCCTCAATTCAAAAAGTTTTGGAGATATTTTAAACTGAATTTAAAAGAAAAAATTTTAAATTCACAGAGTTTTTGTGCTCAAGCACCAGATTAAGGGCAGATTTTCAATCCCAAAATCATCCAAAAAGATATAATATGTTTATGTAGAGAAAGTGTTTGAAGCATTTCAGACACACAGATGGACAAACAGAATATGTCATTTATTTATTTATTTAGACGATTATATGTGACATGATTAAAATGCATTTACCAATGTTGATATTGATTCAATAATATGTCACTTTTACATTTCTTGTACTGCTGGAGCATTGTTAAGTTTTTATCATAAGTCAATTTTTTTTTTTACAATAAGGTTCACCCTGTACAAGGCCCAGGGGCCACTCAAGGCAGAGGGTTACATTAAGGAGCAGTTTATATGGATAGGAGAGGAAGAGAATGGTTAACTCTAGACTTGAACAGGCTAAGTTTATAGTGATTGGGAACCATGATCTTGGTAGTATGTTCCAGAGTGCAGTGGTTCAAAGAAAGAAGTAGTTTGAATGAAACTTACTTCTCACCAATGGAATACAGAGGGAATGTGGGTGGGGATTTGCTACTATGTAAGTGGCATGGCAAGTCCTAGAAGTGAAGGTTAGACCTGGTGGATACCAAGGAATGTAGTTTATCCAAGAACTTTTCCATGGAAGTAGTGATAAAGCAGTGAGAGGCTTGCAATATCCCACCACCTTAGAGAGAGAGAGAGGTTAGAGTGTGGAAAATAATTCTTCTCCAACAAGGACTCTGAGACATTTTTGAACTCTATTGAAACTGAAAAGTCAAGACTGGGCAGCTTCCATCCAAATATAACAACAGTATTCCATTTTTGGCCTGATTTTTCTCTTATAAAGGTAGGCAATAGCATGAGTAGTCAGGAACTTACTAGAGTGCCTCATGGAGCCAATCATTTTACCTGCATCTTTAGTGATGGCTCTTATATGAGGTCAGGTGTACTTAATTATATTATATCTTTCAATATAAGTATATGTATGTATATGAAGGTATTTACTTATCTATAATTGTGTAGCACAATGGCTGGGACACTCATGTAGAAGAGGAAAAAGCATGATCTTGTCTCAATCTTAAATGTCTTTGTTTTGTATCCAGCAGATGGGGTTTTCTGGGTGGTAACCACTTGACTGAAGAAAAGTAATTTGGTAAAACAAAGCGACTGAGGTCAAGAAACAACAAAATGGATATTGATTATCTCTGGATGCTGGTGTATATTGATTGGGATTAGGGGTAGTCAGTTCTAGCCCACCCTTGGCAGGGGTAGACTGTCTTTTGCATAGTTCTGCCTGTTTGTATTGCCAGCCACATGTCATGATGTGTAGATGAGTAAGGATTTCGTAGGAGGAAGAGCTGATCTATGAGACTGACATAACGGAAGTTTTCCCAAGTTAACTCTCCAAGACCAAGCAAATGAAGCAAACACCTATGTTCTGTTAAGAGGGTTCAAGTCCTCATTTCTCACTGAGGCACTTATTTTCATCTTTGTTATGTTGTGAACATGCAGCAGGCTTTTCCTAGTTTTTGTTACACACTGATGTAATCGAGATGCCATGTGGGGCAATCATTGGCAATGTTATATACTGTGTATGGTTGCAAGAGTAACAAATGAAAAACAACAATGTATTTCTGGTGAGGTGGATAGAAAGGAAACAAGGTATGTTAAAATCAAATTATCTGTATTAACAATATAAACATTGGATCAATGTAGAATGACTCCTGTAGGCAAGTAAGGCAACATAGGAGACAAGTAAGGCAAAGGAGACTGATCTTGAAGATGAGAGAGTTGGTTATCAGGTTGGTTGACTGAGAGGCAACTGTGAACTGCGTGTGAACTGCTTTGAGGGTCCTTTTAAGCAGTCAGGGTAGATACAGGACTCAACATTTTTGCCCTCAGCAATGTAGGTTAATCATTGGCAATGTTATATATTGAGTATAGTTGCAAGAGTAACAAATGAAAAACATAACCTGATCTTAAAGATGGGAGTAACTTTAGCCGCAACATTCATGATTTTTTTCTGATGTTTAAATTTTATTTTATTTTTGGGATTTGCTTTGTGAGGCAGATGCAATATTTGGAGCCCTTATGCAGTGGGATAATTTTTTTTATTAAGTTTGCTTTTGTAGCATTCATATCTGGCCAACAGGTTTTGATGTGGAGTGAATCAGCAAGAAATTCAATTGGAACCAAAGTATAACAGACAGTTGTTTAAAAATTGGGCAAGGAACACATTATTTGCTTACAGCTGCACAAATGAATTTAATAAAGAATCAGCTTTATTTAAATTTGTGCTTTATCAGGATTTATTACAGTGAAAAGTAAATAAAAAATAAAGATGTCTAAAACCATTTACTTACGGATTATGCATATCAACATTTTTCACTGGAATGGGTGAATGCAATGAAAGCAGAAAATTGTGCATGTCCCTGGAAAAAAAATAAAATAAAATAAAGCCAAGTCACTGCAAAAAATGTTGCAGAAAGTTTAGCTTATTTTAATGAAAGAGAATCGACCTTGCATTCTGGATGCCACTCTTCCCAAATATGTTAATGGCATGGATGGAAGTAACGATCACTGTAGAATCAAATGAAATAAAATCTAATAGAAATAAAGAGGTAATAATAAGTAATTATTTTTCTCAATGTGTATTTTACTTTTTCTGTGTTTTATTTATGGTTGTGGAAAAAGTTAGAGGAAAGAAAACTTGTAAAACTTAGTGATCTTGTGGGCAGATATTTTTAAATTGTTTTTTATTATATTCCCATATTCAGGGCCAGTGCAACGGTCCTGTGCCACCTCCCCAACACCCATGCCTATATTTACAGGTAGCAAAATAATTTGTGGTCAGTCTATGCACACTAAAAATCCATCATCAGATTTTAAAAAGAGGGAAAAACCCAAAACAATTGGTGATAATTATCCTCTTTCTATCACTGGATTTAGTTTTGAATCTAAAAAAAATAAAATGATAAAATATTTTGTAATTTTATTTTCTCTTGACTATGATAGTTGCATATTTTCCACTGGTCCCAGTTTTGGTACCTCTGGTATAGAGAGATGTAGAGATGGAAAGAGAGATGTGCAAAAGTGAGTGGGAATCATATTTTCAGAAGAAAGTTAAAAAAATTAGTTTAAAAAATTTTTATGATTTTCTGAAGAATTGTAAAAGAAAGAAATGATAAGACATGATACACCTATTTTTTTGCAATTCCTGTGCAGCTGTTTTCATGGTTACCAAATCAATAATGAGTCTTTTGATACAGTAGACTTTCTTATCTACACAATACTGAAATACACGGACAAGGCTTGATCTGATTTTCCATATGCTTTTCTATCTCTCTTGAACATTTTGAAATCATATTAGATTTTACTTTTAAGTTTTATATTTAATACTAATTTTTTATTTTGATCTTTGCCTTTCTGCATCAGCAAAACAACTCATAATAAAAAAAATAATTTGTAAAATTTACTCAATCAGCTCATCAAGTATTGGCTAAAGTTCAGATTGAAAATTTTCAGCTTTTCTTTATAAAAAAAACATTTTAAAACCAAACAAAAATTGATTTGCATCTTTTAGTGATTAATCAACTTTTAATACCAAATTTTTAGACATTACAGAATTTTTTCATTTTAAGGTAACATTTTACTTGTTTTTTGATATTTGAAAGCTACATATTCTTCCACATTTGTTTTATTGTAAAATTTATATTCTCCCTCATTTGTTCCTCATTTCTGAATCTAAAAAAAATAAAAGATACCATAAAAATTTGCACGCTTTGTCAAGATTAAGAGATGAAAGCAGAAACTAAAGATAAAGTTATATGCATATCACACTCTGTAGGGACTCAGTTCTAATTAGAAAATCAGGCAAAGTCACATCAGAGTAGAATTGGAAGAGAATTTACAAGCAAAACATTCTGCCTTATCAGTAGATGTTAACACCTCAAATTGAGTGAAGAGAGGAGGAATAGAATTCTTAATCTTATTTAAGACTATTACAGAGTCATCAGTAGTCAGGAGAACCAAACATGTTAGCAGCTATACAGTGACTATATCTAAAGGATAGAGATGTGAAGATATTTGAAAGAGAGGGAGAGATGTGAGAAAAGCAGAGAGAGCTGAAGGAGAGGGAGAGATGTAGGAAAAGCAGAGAGAGTTGAAGGAGAGGGAGAGATGTGAGAAAAGCAGAGAGAGATGAAGGAGAGGGAGAGATGTGAGAAAATCAGAGAGAGATGAAGGAGAGGGAGAGATGTGAGAAAAGCAGAGAGATGATGGAGAGGGAGAGATGTGAGAAAAGCAGAGAGAGCTGAAGGAGAGGAGAAGGAGATGAAGAGAGAGAGAGAGACTTGATGAGGAGAGAGAGAAAAGCAGAGAGAGTTGAAGGGGAGAGGAGAGAGATGTGAGAAAAGCAGAGAGAGATGAAGGAGAGGGAGAGATGTGAGAAAAGCAGAGAGAGCTGAAGGAGAGGGAGAGATGTGAGAAAAGCAGAGAGAGCTGAAGGAGAGGGAGAGATGTGAGAAAAGGAGAGAGATGATGGAGAGGGAGAGGAGAGAGTGAAAATCAAGAGAGAGCTGAAGGAGGAAGAGAGAGAAAGGAGAGGGAGAGATGAGAGAAAGCAGAATTTGAGGAGCTGAAGGAGAATGGGCGAGAGATGAATATGATTCAATGAAAAAAAATCTTACAAAATTTCCAGTAATTCTTTCAATTTACACCTTAAAACTTACTGAGAGAGCTGAAGGAGAGGGAGATACTGAGAATACCATGAGATGAAAATCAGAGAGAGCACAATGAAGGAGAGGGAGAGATGTGAAAGGGAAAAGGCAGAGAGATGAAGGAGAGGATAGAGATATGAGAAAATTAGAGAGAGATGAAGGAGAGGGAGAGACTGAAATGAAAGCAGAGAGGAGCTGAAGGAGACGTTCACGGTTGGGAGATGGAGAAAATCAGAGAGAGCACAACTGGTCGCGACTTGCCTTGTCCCATAAAAAAGAGCTGAAGGAGAACTATAAAAACAACTACTTTTTCCAAGTTCTTCAAAATGGAAGGCAAGTTTTGACGTCCGTTTGATTCCAGAATTCAGCAAAGCGCCCCAACGGAGATTGTTGAATGGATAGAAATGTGGAATTGGTCTGATGTGAGAAAAGCGCATCAGAGAGAGATGAAGGAGAGGGAAACAGGCCCTTAGATATGAGAAATTTAATGCGTTAGAGAGAAACTGTGATGAAGGGCGCGGCTAGTAGGGGAGAGATGGATGAAAAGCAGAGAGGATGGACGACATGAATCTAGAAGGAGAGGGAGATGATGTGAGAAAATCAGAGAGAGCTGAAGGAGAGGAAGAGATGTGGCGAAGAAAACGTCAGAGAGAGCAGAACGGATTGAAACTATTCATGTAATGTAATTTTGCTTTGTGCTGCTTTTGATCAATAAAATACAAATAAAAATTTGATTTTTTCTGCTTACCTCATAGCCAATTTGTCATGGACGCTTTCTATTTTTGAATCACTTGAATGTGGCGATTTTAGAAGGTAACATTGAATATGATTCAATTCAAAATTTTCAACACGTTTCTGTATGAAGTGCAAAAAAAAGAATCTTACAAAAATTCCAGTAATTCTTTCAATTTACACCTTAAAACTTACTGGTCATAAATTTTTTAAAGATTTTTTTTTAAATTTAACTTTTCAATTCAACAAAATCAGCTTTTAAATTCATGAGAGCAAAGAAACTTGGTTCTACAGAAGCATACTGAGAATACCATAAACAGAGCATGCAAGCAAGAAGGAAGTCTTAAAGAAAATGGTAACAAATAAGATACTTACATTCAGAATAAGACAGAGTTAAAATTTCTGGGACACAATGAGAAAGGAGAGCTTGGAGAATTTGTCATACACAGGGTGAAAGGGACAGGGAAGGCAGCAGTGGGCTGGTCACCGATTCAGCATGTGTGCTCGATGGGGTTTACGTGAATGGATAGGGTGAAATGCTGATGAGGCGGCGCTTAGAGAATGGGGAAGTCGGGGAGAGAACTGTCGCAGGAATGCAATAGTTGTGTCACTGCAACGAGCCAGTTGAGCAAACGTCAGGTGACCCACATCCACCAGCAGAGGTCTGTATGAAGGAACTGGTAAAATCTGTCGTTAGAACCTGTTCAAGCCTGCCAATCGATCGATCAGCACCACGTGATTGCTCATGTTCAGACTAGTACTAAGAATAGTGAAGGCGGCCACCTTGCACCTCCCGAAATACTGACTTGACACCACGTTCACTAACATTCTCTAATGATATAACGGAAAACCATAGGGAATGATTTCATTGAATCTAGGTCTGCCGGTCTGGACGTAACCCATTGCAATGGTACTAGGAAAGTTGGTTCACCGTGTTATACTAGACAATTTTTCTTGACCAGAATCTATTTTACACTTATATAAATTGAGTTGGATTCAACCATTCATCCATGCATTGAATATTGCTGTCACATCCGGAGATCAGGGGGAGTGGTCTGGGACGTGGTCTTCTGCTATGTATTTAGAGTTGAAATGGTATGGGCAATCTTTACTGAGCAGTGGATCACATGACGCAATCTTATGGGACATGGACGCAATGAATCATCACAAAGACCAGGCCACATAAAAAACTACTAAAAAGGATTCAACATAACTTTTTGAAATGTTGGGAGATAGGGTTACCTCATTCGTTATTTTAATGATATAACGTGGACTAAAGGTCTGCTGCTAAGACCATATGTATAAATATAGACCTTCATCCATGAAATATTGTTTTCTTTTAAAAGATTTTTTGGATCACATGATCTATTTAAATTTAAAAAAAATTTTTTTCTTGTTTAAAAATATAGACCTTGGCATATTATTTTTTTCTTGTTTAAAGTGATGACAGTGTGATTATCACATGTCACAGGTTTTATTACTAATTTATTCATTTGAGAAAGAAAACATTTCTTTTTTAGAGAAAAATTCTTATGAATGTTTCCTGTTTGAAAAGCAAAAGATGTTTACATGTATAATCTTCCTTAGTGAAAATTGCCAGTGGTTTAAAATGCTGACTATGTTACTTTCTCCAAAATTTTACAAAATTCAAGAAACATTGTACTTAATCCTTTTTTTTTTTTTATGGCTGTGCATGTATATGAGATAATGTGGGAATGAACAAGTGAGAACAAAACAAAATAAAATTTTAAGAAACACTATTTTGCTTATGAATTTAAGTGTGCCAAACGGGCTGCATGTGGCTCATGGGCCACAATTTGCCCATGACTCATTTAGAGAGTCTTGGTAGAATATTATCACTGATGACAGTGTGATTATCACATGTCACTGTTCAGAAAGATCACAGTGCACAGAAGAAGATGTTCCAGCATCATGAACCCACAGAAAGCATTTGAGATCAGACAGAGGTTTCCCCTACAAAGAGGCATGCAGGTTTGAACCCTGCTGGAGAGCATATTTTTTTATTAAGTCATTCAAATGTGGACTCTGACAGACATAATTCACACAGCTTAAAAAAAAAAACAGGGTGTCTACTCAAACACAGGTCGCTACTAAAAATAATGTTTAGAGTAATAACAAAATAACGGATAAAAAATAAAATTAATCAATTCCTTATAAATTACTTTATATCTATCTATCTATCTATCTATCTATCTCTATATATATCTATCTATATATATATATATATATATATATATATATAATAGTTGGCCATTCATATTCAAGGATACCCATTTACTCTATTGCAGGTGCTCACTCAGGCACACTTTTGTTCAATACTCACAGTCAACCTGTGGTTTATACTGCAACTATGCTGAGCAGACCTTAGTTACAGTTTTTGGGAGAAAGTGTGTTATCTAGCATGATCAACAATCTGAACATCATCAGCACACTCAAACCCTTGGTCCCAATGACTTGTTTCATCTACCCAATTTCAATCACAAGGTTTGGGTCAACTTGTGGTATGGTTTTCAGGCATTTTCCAAAGGTGCCGCACACTGGGATTGCCCCCCTCCAGACTGATAACAACACGAATCTCCTTCCTGACAAACCAACTGTGGTGAGATTCGAATCCATGTCTCATGGTCAGAAAGCGAACGTTCTAACCACTTGGCCATGCACCTAATTTTATATATATATATATATATATATATATGTGTGTGTGTGTGTGTGTGTGTGTGTGTGTGTGTGTGTGTGTGTGTGTGTGTGTGTGTGTTGCATATTTAGGCAACAAATTCTCTTTTAGGCATGTCTGATTAAATAAATTACAAACATTATGTCTGCTTATTTTTAATAAAATCCGTTCATACTCATGGATAACCTTCCATGTATTGCAATTAAATGATGTGAGAAATGTGCTATAACTATGAAAATCGTTTTTATTTTCAAAGTGCTTTCAAAAGCAAAAAGAAAAATTACAGTAATGGGTATCAAAAAACAGTTTTGTATTACTACATACACCCTTGAAGATGATCTTGGAAGAAGATTGAAAGTACTTGTGAAATGGAAAATAAAAACGATATATATATATATATATATATATATATATATATATATTAGGGAGCATAAAGATCAGAACGATGTTAAGAAAAAATCTAAATATGAAATGATTTTTTATTTTAAAACTTCAAATAACATTTTATGAAGGAAAAATAAGGATATAAAGGTAAATTATATAATTCCAAAAAATAAAGCTCAATAAACTTATTTTGATAGTTATAAGAATAATTATATAACATTAAAAAATAAATAGATGATCAAAAACAGAACGATTAACAAAATCATACTATTATAATGGATACATCATATCCAAATGAAAATAGCGTTCATAATTCATTAGTATTTGATGCGTAAACATTTACTTTCAATAACAACTTGACATCTTTTGTAACATGAGCAAATTAATGTCTTGAAATCATTAACGGATATTTTCTCCCATTCTTCTTTTAAATTAGTCCATAGTTCTTCGACGTTTATTGGATCCTTTTCCTTAGCTCTTTCATTTAGTAACTTCCAAACATTCTCAATAAGATTCATGTCTGGGCTTTGAGCAGGCCACTCCATAACAGTAACATCCTCAGAAAGAAAGAAATATCTTAACAGACTTCACTGTATGACATGACGCGTTATCTTGCATTAAATACAGCTGGTTGATTAATTGCAGTTCTCAAATTAGGTACATGTTTCTTCGATGTCTCTTTGTATACAGTTGCATTAATTTTACTGTGTAGCCTAACAAGATGTCCTGTACCAGCAAATGAAATCATGCCAAACACCATCACACTTCCTCCTCCAAATTTAACGCTGTTTTTAGTGCACGGGAGAAGATTCGTTCAACGCAGTCCTACGTTCCTCAGGACTGCGTTGAACGAACCTTCTCCCGTCACAGCCGAACAGGTTAAACTTTGACTCATCGCTAAAATGAACACAGTCCCACTGTTCTTCTGTCCATATGACGTGTTCAGTGGCAAATTTCAATCAGCTCATATGATTCTTTTTAGAAATGTAAGGCTTCGTAGAGGCTACTCGACTGTTCAGATTTATTTCATTAAGTCTTCGGGAAATAGTGTGCCTTGATATTTTAATACCAAGGTTAGCATTAGCTCTTTTAGAGATGGCAGTTGCTGTCGCAAATCGATCCTTTTTTTGATTCATTACCAATGCATCTGTCTTCCCTTGCAGTAGTTTTTCTAAGCCTGCCAGGTGGTTTCTTGGCTTCACATGACCCAGTTTCCTCAAGTTTTCTATACTATGAATAACACTTTTAGATTTCCCACACTCTTTGAAATATCCCCAATCGAGAGTTTATCTTCATTACGTAACTTGACTATCAGTTTTCTAAATTTCAATGATGTCACAGATTTTTTTCGCCATGTTTACAATGCAAGAGCCAGTAAAGGGCAAGTGTAATTTAGTAAAATACCCGATTTTATATACTTACCCTAAAAAAATTTCAATAATGCAAAATAATTATTAAATTTTATGGATTTATTTAATCGTTCTGATGTTTTTGATCATCTATTTTTTTCAAATGTTATATAATTATTCTTATAACTTTATCAAAATAAGTTTATTGAGCTCTATATTTTGGAATTATATAATTTACATTTATATCCTTATTTTTCCTTGATAAAATGTTCTCTGAAGTTTTAAAATAAAAAGTTATTTCATATTTAGACTTTTTCTTAATATCGTTCTGATCTTTATGCTCACTTATGTGTATATATATAGTTAGGTAATGAACAGTTTGGTGATCCGTATGGATTATCCCAAGGAGGATATAACCCAGAGAGCTCAATAGAGAACCAGAGTTAATAT